CTGCTCTGTTTCAGTTTGAAGCCATTCCTCCTTCTCTGGGCTGTGTTCTCTCTTCTGCTCCTTCAGGAGCAGAAAAGTCCATTTTTGTGTTGTTCTTCACAGCTTTAGAGAGAAACTTTCTCTTTTTTTTCATCCCTCTGATACAGTGTTGCTGCTTGGCCTTAAATTCCATTAAACAGTTGTTCCTTATTGTCTTTCTAATGGGAAAAAAAAGGAGATTACTCTAATTTCACTGGACAATCAGTGCCCACTGTGGCTTTCAGAGCACACCTGGGTCAGGGCGAAGGCACCATCCCACTTAATGCCAACAGTGTATTTATTTGCAGTTCACAGGAGAAAGTGGTTTTTAATAACGTTTAAACTCACCCCAAAAATCACGTATTAACAGTAAATTTTCTTGTCGCTTCTTTCTGTGCCCGTAGCAGGAATGTTTTGTAGCCCTGTAGCAGAGGGAAGTGGGACAGGTTTTCCTAAACCTCAGAGTTCTTTTCTGAAACCTCTGAGTTAGGATGTGTGAACAAAGGCAAATAACGTTGATTGGTGGTTTAGAAAGCAGTTTGACTTTCTGTTGTTTTTCTGTGGAAAGCAGCCTAAATGTTATGAACCTGTTAAAGGGTTAAATGGAAAAGGAGGAGCCCAAATCCAAGTAATTTTTTCCCCCTCAGAAGCCAATGTGCTCTGTGTCCTGCAAAAATGAAAGCTCTTGCACGTTGCATTAGACCCAGAATATCTTTTTCTGCATCCTTTCATCTGAATTTTGCTGGAGAGTGAGAAGTCAAAAAGTTTTATCTCACAATATTCCAGATTCCTCTTGCATGCTCCATACCCAGAACCCAAATTTAAGATGTCTCATCAATGCACATTAAACTCTTTTACTCAACATCCTTTCTGTGACTGAGGCTTTTATTTTGCATATGCAGTCAAATAGGTTTGATCTTTATTGCCTTAATTTATCTCACGTGAGCATCTAGAATTATATCCAATATCCTGTGCTGGGTGTTTGTAGTACATTATGTTCACTGTGTACATTATGTACACCCTCTGGGACTTGGTCTAAACACATTTAGGAACAAAACTGTCTTTCAGGTGCAGAAGTGGTGTCACAGGGCTTGGGTGAGTCACAGCAGGGAACAGAGTGACAATCCCTGGGCTCCCAGAATTGTGCCAAAACTCCAAGTTTGTTCTTTTCTTTTATGGATACAACGTGCTTTTTATTTTAGAATTCACTTTTTGGCTTAAGAGCCTGTCAGCTGCACATCAGCTCCAATAGAAAGTTGCTGAGAAATGCAGAAGAGAAGTATTTGGTGGCCCTCCTGTTCATAAAAGTGAATTATATCAGTACAACAGATACATCAGAGCTTTCTGGATCTTCATTTAAAACACAGGTCACCTGAACCTCTGTCCTTACTGAGAGTCAGTTGAAGCTTTAATGGCTTCCCACTGCCAGAGGGCAGGCTTAGATGGGATATTGGGAAGGAATTCCTGGCTGGGAGGGTGGGGAGGCCCTGGCACAGGTTGCCCAGAGAAGCCGTGGCTCCCCCTGGATCCCTGGAAGTGTCTAAAACCAGCTTGGATGGGGCTTGGAGCAACCTGGTCTAGTGGGAGGTGCCCCTGGGGGACTGGATGGGCTTTAAGGTCCCTTCCAATCCAAACCATTCTGGGATTCTGCTGCCATTCTGTTATATCCCACCTGAAGTGTGAATTATTTGGTCAGTTATTTGGTCCATTTTCCTGCTGGCACAGCCAGAGCTGTGTGTGGCCAGAAGCACTGACTTGAACTGCCTTGAAGCTTTCCACCTTCCTTTTGATGAATTTACCCCCAGCTTCCATCCTTTTCCTTCCTAGCAAGTTCCAGAAATTGTCTCAGGTTTTAGGCCTCTGATTTTCCCTGTGTGTGTTCACAACTGTCCCTTTATCGTGTTGCATTTTAGGGAGATCCCAGGGCATTGGGGTTTTTTTTCAGTACTTTATTTTCAGCTGTGAATTCAGTGCTTTGTTCCTCTCCTGGGTGCTGCAGCACAGTTTGATCTGGATTATTCCAAGAGGTCGTGTTTGTTCTTAAATGCTGTAAATAGAGCTGTTCCCTGTCCCATTCCATCGCCCTGCTGAGTTGGTAGCTCCTGATACACGCAGGGAGGTGTCAGTAACAAACGAGCAGGAGGATAATGAGCTTTTAACTGCACAACTGTGTTTTCCTGCAGGCAAATGCCAGCGATTTAAAGACTTTCCTTTCAGCCCTGAGACTGGCTCACCAAGGCACCGACGCCGGAGTTCTCCCTCTCTCCCCTCTGGTCCCGGCAAAGAACTCGGAAGTGGAAAAACCCAAGACGAAAATGATCATAACTTCCAGGAGGGACTATCCCCTCACCAAGAGCTTCCCTTACTCCCTGGAACACCTGCAGACCTCCTACTGCAAGCTGGCCCGGGTCGACACGCGCGTGCTCTGCCTGAAGAAGCTCCGGAAGCTGGACCTGAGCCACAACCACATCAAGCAGCTGCCGGCGACCCTCGGGGACCTGGTGTGTCTGCAGGAGCTGGACCTGCACGACAACCACCTGGAGTCCTTCAGCGGGGCCCTGTGCTGCTCCAGCCTGCAGAAATCCCTGCAGTTCCTGGACCTGAGCCAGAACCGGCTCCGAGCGCTGCCCCTGGAGTTCTGTGAGCTGCGGGGGCTGGTCACTGTGAAGCTGGATGACAACGAGCTGGTGCGGCTGCCCTGCAGGGTCGGGCAGCTCAGCCGCCTGCGCTTCCTGTCGGCCGCGCGCAACAAACTGCCCTTCCTGCCCAGCGACTTCAGGAGGCTCTCCCTGGAGAACCTGGACCTCTTTGGGAATCCTTTTGAGCAGCCCAACCCGCTGGTGCCCAACATCCAGCTGAAAATCCCATTGACTTTGTTGGAGTGTGCTGCCAGAGCCACCATAAATCACAGGTAAGGGCAGCGGGAGGTGCACACCTGGCACTGCTCCTTTCCCACCTGGCACTGCTCCCTTCCCACCCGGCACTGCTCCTTTCCCACCTGGCACTGCTCCCTTCCCACCTGGCCACTCCCACCTTTCCTTACTTGGCTGTTTCTTTTCCCCTCAGTGCCTGTTGCTCATCACCTGTTAAATTCACAAGGTTCGAATTCCTTCGAATTCCACTTGTAAAATCATCAGGAAATGGGTGCCTTGGAAGCATTTAGGCAAAGCTACGGGTTGAAGTGTTTTTATCCAGCGGGGGGGGGATAAACAGAATATTTTTGGCTGGCTTTGGGGAAGGGAATCAGTTCTACAACCCTGACCCACTTCTGCTGCAGGCTTCTCCCTGCCACAGGTTTTCCTGAAGCTCCTAATTTACTTTGGGGTTGGAGTGAGGGCGTTCTGGCTTATTCAGAGAATCCCAATTCTCAATAATAATTGTGAAATTATTATTTCACCAAGTAAATATCACCCTGCCAGGCTGCTGTTTGTTGTCAGCTCCCTCCTCTTCCCTCACACCACTTCCATAGCTCCACCCGTGATCCTTGGTGTACCGGGAACCTTCAGGTACCATCTGCTGCTGCTCCCACTCTGTTCTGGGTGGAAAGGGAGCACAAAGATGGAAATTTGGCACAGAGGAGGGTGAGAGACAGGCTTGAAGTGTCCCTGATCTCCATCCTGTGCCCGCTCCTGCCTTGGGGGTGGGGAGTGCCCCACAAACTCGGGATAATTGCACAGAAATCTGCACCAAAGGCATCCACGGGCACACCCTGAAGGGAGCTGAGCCAGCACATGTTCTGGGCCAAAACACCCACTTCTGACCTTGCTGATTTTATAATTAACCCCCACGTGTCTCCTTTCCCAAGGTTATATAAATTGCAATGGGTTTGATGTAAATGTTAAGCCTTTTATAGAGGTTTTCTAGAGAATTCAATCCCTCAGTGCTGGTCAGGTTTTAGTGCTCAGTTCCTGTAAAAACCTTGAGAAAGGGACAAAACAGAAGGAGGGAAGATGCAGAATAAACGTTTGGAAATCAGTCTTCATTCTGGGAAAGTACCAGAGCTGTGATTATGCTTTTCCTGACGGGAAAAAAGGGTGTCCTGAAATTAAGGTGGTTAAAAAAAAAACCCCACAGGAGTTTTCATAATATGAGTGCTGGTATGTGGAAAGGATTGGGAAACGTGTAGGTGTAGGCAGGATGTGAGTCAGTGGGATCTGAGCCTGGAGTGCCTGCTGGGCACTGGTGATACCCACACTTCAACTGAACTTGACAAAAACACTTCAGGGGAATCATTCCTTTTGTACCCCAGACTTGACCCCGCTCTGCTGTGAATTTAGGAAGAAGCAATTCCTGCTCCTGACTCTGGATGTCATTGGTGACACGGTGGATGGAGAGAGCTGTGTATCAGGAGAACCTTAATTTAAGGCCTGCAGTGTGGTGGCACTGCTGCAAAAAGGCTCATTTTATCTCCTCTTTCCTCTGAGATGTGTTTTCATGTTGCTCCCACTTTGTGGAAGAGAGGGGGGAGTAAACTGTGAGTGCTGCATGAGGCCAGGGTGAGACACAGTGATCTCCCTGGGTGACACGAGGGAGGAACAGTATGTGCCCAGTTGTCTCATTATTCTTAATCTTCACTTAATTCCCTAATTCTCATTATGCTTAATCTTCTTTTTAATTACCTAATTGGCTGTGCCCCAGGCTGTCAGGAGTGCTGTTGTCTCCCTGTTTAGTGTCTCCAGGAGTTCAGGTCCTTGGCACTCGGGTGGGTAAAGGGGGTGCATGTTTTCACTGACTGTCTTGGCATTTAATTCCTAACCAGTCGAAAATCCCAGATTTTCCATGTCTGTGCTCTCGGAATGTCATCTCTCCCAGCTGGTGCCTGTGCCTGTCACTGTTTCTGAGGTTAATTTTGCAGTGAATTCACACTCACTCCTCTCGTTCCACAGAATCCCTTACGGTTGCCATCTCCTTCCTTCCCACCTTTGTGAGGATCTGGGAGTGGCTAAAACCTGCCAGTGTGGAAGTGCCTGCCTGAGCAGCTTCATCCAGATCACGGTGACCATGAACCTGCACCACGTGGCTCACACCGTGGTGCTCGTGGACAACATGGGAGGGACGGATGCTCCCATCCTCTGCTACTTCTGTTCCCTGCACTGCTATTCCCAGTTCCTGGACAGGCACCTCCAGAGCAACGGGTGACCACTGCTGGGTGCCAAAGCTCTGCCCAACAGAGATCAAACATCCCTCTGGCAGTGAGGGGACACATCAGCCTGACCCGGTGCCTGACTCTGCCTCCACCACCGGAATGTCCCTGTGGTCGGAATGACGAGCGATGCGGAGCTCCAACGAACCTCCCCTAGAATGTGTTTTGCTTTCCTTTTCCTGTTCCCAGGCTTTGCTCGGAGCGTCACGGCAGCTTTCCGAGTTCTGTGGAGTAAGGGGTTCCTCCTTGGGAGTTTATCCCACACTTACTCGCAGGTGATGCCCTGAGCTCTGCCCATGGACAGTGTCTGCGTTGGCTTCCTCGCTGGACTCGGCTCTTTCCAGCTGTTTCACATGGAGGAGAAATTAAGGCCCAAACCGGTTATGTAATTCCAGGTGCTTCTTTTTTTTTTTTAAAGGTTCTCTTACAACATTCCCACTTCCAGCAGGGACCAGCATTGCTGGTTTTTTACCAGAGCAAATGGTTTTTTTGGGGGGGTTTATCTCTTTGTGATACGAGAAATGTCTTTTTTTTTCTCTAAGTATGTGCCAGAAACTTTGTCTCTTAACTCTGGTGTTTTAACGATTCTTGAATTTGTTTCACTGTGTCGACTTATTAAATTTTGAAACCCTTCTACTGACGTGTGGATTGTGTTTTCTCTGAGGAGTTTTTCCTCCACTGTATTCCAGGGATTTCCCCAGTGAAGACACTGAAATAGTGGGCGTATCCACAGGCCCTTATTTCATGTCTTGTCAGCTGGTCCATGGCTCGGGTTGGAACAAAAGTCCCTTGAGAAGCCTTTAGGCATCCCTGGAACATGTGATGGCTTGGAGGGAGCACCGTGCAGTTATTTTTGAAGTGGTATTCAGTGCCTGCCAGGGGAGGTTTAGATTGGATGTTAGGGAAAATTCCTTCAGGGAAAGGGTGGTCAACATTGGATCAGGCTACCTCCATCTGGGAGGTGGTGGAGTCCCCATTCCTGGAGGGATTTAAAAGCCCTGTGGATGTGGCACCTGGGGACAGGGGTCAGTGGTGGCCTTGGCAGGGCTGGGGGAATGGTTGGAGTCAATGATCTTTGCAGTGTTTCCCAATTTTAACGATTCCATGATTCCATGAATTACACACTTGCCATCTAACCAGATGCCAACCAGAGCTAGCCCCTGATGCTGCTGTGAAAGGAGAGAGTTCTGACTGCAGCAACTTGGGAATTACTCATGTGGAAAAGCACCTTTTAGATGGAGCACGTGATTGCGAGGAGGAAGGTGGAGGAGGCACAGAAATTTGGCCTCCTGTGGGACTCCTACAGAATTTCAGATGCAGATCTGGGAGGGGGCTGTGCAGTGGCCCAGATCCTCCCAGGGAACCAGGTGTGCTGGGAGGGGAGGAACCCACCCGTGGGACCCTCCCAGGGGAGCCAGCTGTGCTGCCCTGAAGGGAATGTCATCCCCAAACAGACCTGGCTGCCCTCCCTCCTCTGAAGCCACAGCAGCTGGCACAGCGTGGAGGAGGGTGGGAGGTGCCGGAGCCCTCCCTGAACAGGTTCCTCCTCAGCCATCACAGAATCCCAGAACAGTTTGGGTTGGAAGGGACCTTAAATCCCATCTTATTCCA